GATCCCAGGACCCTGGGATCATGACCCAAGCCAAAGGCAGAGGCTTAACCCACTGAGCCACCCAAGCACCCCTAGAATCATTCTTTTTTTTTTTTTTAATATTTATTTATTTGACAGAGAGAGAGAGTGATCACAAGTAGACAGAGAGGCAGGCAGAGGGAGAGGAGGAAGCAGGCTCCCTGCCGAGCAGAGAGCCCGATGCGGGGCTCGATCCCAGGACCCTGGATCATGACCTGAGCCGAAGGCAGAGGCTCAACCCACTGAGCCACCCAGGCACCCCTAGAATCATTCTTTATAGGAGTGCCTGGCTGGCTCAGTTGGAGTGTGCAACTCTTGATCTTGGGGATAGGAGTTCAAGCCCTATGTCGGGTATGGAGATTACTTAATAAGCTTTTTTTTTTTTTTTAAAGATTTTATTTATTTGACAGAGAGAGATCACAAGTAGGCAGAGAGGCAGGCAGAGAGAGAGGGAAGCAGGCCCCCCGCTGAGCAGAGAGCCAATGCGGGGCTCCATCCCAGGACCCTGGGACCATGACCTGAGCCGAAGGCAGAGGCTTTAACCCACTGAGCCACCCAGGCGCCCCCTTAATAAGCTTTTTTAAAAAAAGATTTTAGGGAGCCTACTCCCCCACCCCCACTTGCTTCTCTGCCTACTTGTGATCTCTGTCAAATAAATAAAATCTCTTAAAAAAATAAAATTTAAGGGGCGCCTGGGTGGCTCAGTGGGTTAAAGCCTCTGCCTTTGGCTCAGGTCATGATCCCAGGTCCTGGGATCGAGCCCCACATCGGGCTCTTTGCTCGGCAGGGAGCCTGCTTCCTCCTCTCTCTCTGCCTGCCTCTCTGCCTGCTTGTGATCTCTGTCAAATAAATAAATTTAAAAAATTATAAAAAAAATTTAAAAAAAAAGATTTTATTTAGAGAGAATAAGAGACAGCAAGAGTGGAGGAGGGAGTGGCAAATAGGGAAAAGCAGACTCCCCACTGAGCAAGGAGCCCCATGTGAGACTTGATCCCAGGACCTGAGCAGAAGGCAGACACTTAACCAACTGAGTCACCCACGTGCCCTAGATTCATTCTTTTAACTGAGAGTTGTATACTTAAAATGAGTGATTTTTTACGGCAAATAATGCCTCATTGAAATTATTGAGTAGGTCTCTGTTTTCCACTTCACTACATCCCCTCTTTGCCTCTAGGTGAAGGATGACTCCAGGGCTCTGACATTAGGGGCACTGACCCTGCCTCTGGCTCGCCTGCTGACTGCCCCCGAACTCACCTTGGACCAGTGGTTCCAGCTCAGCAGCTCTGGCTCAAACTCCAGGCTCTACATGAAATTGGTTATGAGGGTATGGAGACCGAGAAAATGCTGGAGGTGGTGAGGGGCCTTATAGATTCCTTGGTATGAAGAATAAAGAAGAGGAATCCTCTAAGATCTAATGAGCTAGTGTATGTGGAAGCATCTAGCAGGCACACAAAAACGTCTGTTGACCAGACTGGGGAAGAAATGGTGTTTGAGTAGGATGAGTGTGGCAGGAACCCTCTCGAGATGAGCCCAGCCAAGGCATGGACCTGTTTCCCCTGTCCCAGCCTCTGCTCTGCCCCCAAACCCACATCCCTTGCCTGCTGGTGCTAGCTGCACTTCTTTGATTGGACAATTACACCACTCTCCCTAGATCTTGTACTTGGATTCATCAGAAGTGCACTTTCCCACTGTGCCTGGAATTCCTGGGGCTTGGGACCTGGACGAGAGCCCCCAGACAGGCAGCAGCGTGGATGTCCCACCTCGACCTTCTCACACTACTCCTGAGAGTCACTTTGGGATGGAGGTGAGTCTAGATCTAGAAAGGACGAGGTAGGATCTGTTGCCTAAGCATGTGCAAAAGCCTGTTTCGGGCTGGTTTTAATAGGTCTCTCTCTACCTACCGTCTGGTGCCTCTGTCTGTCCCTTTTTTTTTTTTTTTAAAGATTTTGTTTATTTATTTGTCAGAGAGAGAGAGGGAGAGAGAACGAACACAGGCAGACAGAGTGGCAGGCAGAGGCAGAGGGAGAAGCAGGCTCCCCACAGAACAAGGAGCCCGATGCGGGACTCGATCCCAGGACGCTGGGATCATGACCTGAGCCGAAGGCAGCGGCCTAACCAACTGAGCCACCCAGGCGTCCCCTGTCTGTCCCTTTTGCAGAATGTGCTTCGGATCCATGTATTAGAGGCCCAGGATCTGATCGCCAAAGACCGTTTCCTGGGGGGACTAGTGAAGGGCAAGTCAGACCCCTATGTCAAACTAAAGCTGGCAGGACGAAGCTTCCGGAGCCGTGTTGTTCGGGAAGATCTCAATCCCCGCTGGAATGAGGTTTTTGAGGTCAGAACTGCGCGGTTAGGACTCCTCCAAGTCCCTTCTCCTTCTTCCCTCTAGCTCTGAGAGTGGTCCGAAAGCCCTCTGGGGTTTAGGTGGTTGAGGGTGAGGTTCCCAGTCATTTGAAGAAGAAAAAGAATCCGACTTCGCACTGTTTTCTCCCTCTAGGTGATTGTCACGTCAATTCCAGGCCAAGAGCTAGACATTGAAGTTTTTGACAAGGACCTGGACAAGGATGACTTTCTGGGCAGGTGAGAGGATGGGAGTCCGGAGGGGAAGACAAAGGCTTTGGGGAGATGGACACTGGGCTGTGACCACTGGCCTCTTGTTTTAATTAATTTTTCTCCTCTCCAGGTGCAAAGTGAGTCTCACCGCAGTCCTGAACACAGGCTTCCTCGATGAGGTGAGCAAGGAATTATAAGCCCTAATCCCTCCTATCTTGACCCATGTCTCAATCTCCTAGTCCCTCTGTCCCCACATCCCCAAGGCTTAAGCCTGCCTATGCCCACAGTGGCTGACCCTGGACGACGTGCCATCTGGCCGCCTGCACTTGCGTCTGGAGCGTCTGACACCCCGGCCCACGGGTGCTGAGTTAGAGGAGGTAGGGACGGGACTCTGGGTGGGTCATGGCAAACACTCCTGTCCGTCTCCCAGGCGTGGCCAGGCCACGGCACATCCAGCACGGGTCCCCCAGCCCGCGTGTCCTCCCGCAGGTGCTGCAGGTGAACAGTCTGATCCAGACGCAGAAGAGCGCAGAGCTGGCGGCGGCCCTGCTATCTGTGTATCTGGAGCGGGCGGACGAGCTGCCGGTGAGAGCCGCTCCCCGCACCCCATAGCTCCCTGGCCCTTCCTCTGCCTCCCTCAGGTTTGGATGCTCCAAGGGATATTTGGAATAATAAATTCCAAATTCCTCTTTCCCAGGGTGGTGCTGGGGTGGGAAGAATGGTCTGTTGAAGGCCAGGAGGGTAGTGGCTGTCAAGTGACCATGGGGATGTGATCTGGGAGGGGAGTAGGAGATCTGCCTCACTAGGTCTCTCAGTTCAAGACCATATTTAATAGTCAACGCACTGTTCTCTCTCTCCAGCTCCGGAAAGGGACCAAGCCTCCCAGCCCTTACGCTACTCTCACCGTCGGAGACACTTCTCATAAGACGAAGGTATTAGGAAATGCCGCAGAGCTGTCTGGGAGGGCTGAGAAACGCAGAGGAGAACGTTCCAAGCACTGACCTTAACCCCTCATCTCCACCAGACAATTGCCCAAACCTCAGCCCCTGTCTGGGATGAGACTGCCTCCTTTCTCATCAAGAGACCACACATCGAGAGCCTGGAGCTGCAGGTACCATAAATTCATTCTGTGAACATTTTGCCACCGCGGGTGAGTCACTGAACCAGGCATAGGGAGAAAAGATTTAGTTCCTATCTTTATGGAGCTCACACTCCCTTTGGGGAGAAGAATAACCAAGGAAAATTTCCAGACTGACAAACTGCTGAGGTAAAAGGCACTGTGGGGAAAAGGAGGGCTTCTACCTCAGAGGAGGGGAAAAGGTGGAGGTAGTAGTAGCGGTAACCCTAGATGACCCCTGAGCTTAAGGGGAAACAGGATGTGACCAAGAAGAGAAGGAATAGTCTCAGGCTGAGAAGGGAATGAGGACAAAGAAGGCAAACTGTAGATCACAGAGGCAGACAGGAGCAGGATCAAAAGGGCTCTTGACTCTTATGTTAAGAATGTGGATTTACGGGACGCCTGGGTGGCTCAGTTGGTTGAGCAGCTGCTTTCGGCTCAGGTCATGATCCCGGCGTCCTGGGATCGAGTCCCGCATCGGCCTCCTTGCTCATCGGGGAGCCTGCTTCTCCCTCTGCCTCTGCCTGCCACTCTGTCTGCATGTACTCACTCTCTGTGACAAATAAATAAGTAAAAATCTTTAAAAAAATATATTAAAAAAAAAAATGTGGATTTACCCTAAAGGCATAGGGGAATATTTGAAGGAGTGAGGGGTGACATACCCAGATTTGCACTTTACAAAGATTGTGCTGATGGCAGGGTGAAGGGTGGACTGAAGGAAGATGGTGCTGGAGGCAGGGAGGTCAGCTAACAGGCTATGAAGCAAGACATGACGAAGGGCAATGGTATTTAGTGGTGGTTATTTTGACATGGGAGAAGGAACAAAGAACAGCCTAGACACGAACTCCTGGATTTTTAGCCTGGGGCAGCGGGACAGAGAAGGGAGCCATGGCCAACACAGGGAATGGCCAAAGCAGGAGTGCTTGAATTTGAGACCTCTGAGATCATCCAAGGGGAAACAGCTATCCAGAAGGTAGATCTGTGGCCCACTATGGGGTTCTCACTGCTCCTTCATTTGAGCACCAAGCACACGTAGCACCTATAGTCCCGGGTGTGCAGGAGCACCCTGAGGGCCTACGGAGAGTGGGAAGACAAAGGAGGGACATACTAAGCATGGCAGCAATGACAGAGCAGACAGAGGAAGAGGAGCCCTGCAAAGGGCCTGAGGTGTAACAGGGGCAATGGGGTGTTCGCCAGGAGAGAAGGGGGTATGGAAGCCAAAGAAGAGTGTCTGAAACGATAGGAAGTGGCCAGATGTTACCAAGAAAACGAAATGAGATGACTGAGAATGACTGACGTTAAGGTAACAGATTAGAGCAACTTTAGTGGCAAGCACGGAGTAGAAACTAGATTTCAGGGGGTTCAAGGGTGAACAAAGGTAAAGAGGTATGGGAGCAGGGAGAGGGTGGTAGAGGTAATACAGGGGTGCTTTTCCTCTTCTGGAGTGAGAGTCAAAGACCCTCTAAAGTTGATAAAGTAATACGTTGAGAATTACATGAATAGAACTCAAGAGACCTTAAAATAGTGTAACTGTTAACAACACTAGCAGAGGTAGAGAAGATAAGTCAATGAGCTCCATTCCTTACCTTGCACCGCAGGGAATCAGGAGATACAAAAGCTGGCAAATAGTGATAGAGAGATACAGGCATATTAGCTAGAATTATTCTGGAACTCAGAAGACAGGAAGGGTTTGCAGGTCATTACATCTGGAGTGTGGAAATGGGGGTTAGGTGGGCAGGAACCCTGTAATTCCATTTTTGCTGTTCTTTTTCTCCACGCTGTGCAGCAGCTATGGCCCTGGGGTGTAATTTGTGAAAGTTCAGGAAGTAGAGAGGGCACAGTCTAGTCTGGCTAGGAAGGGAGGGGAAGCGGGGCCAGCAACATGGCTGCCATGTGGCCATCACAAAGGGGACTCTCTCTCCAAAACCACCCAAGTGTTTGAACCTAGAACACCAGGGTTAAATCATCTGCCTCTTGATTCCACAGGTCCGGGGTGAGGGGACAGGCACACTGGGCTCGTTCTCCCTGCCCCTCTCGGAGCTACTCGTGGCTGACCAGCTCTGCCTGGACCGTTGGTTTACACTTAACAATGGTCAAGGGCAGGTGCTACTGAGAGCACAGCTCGGGGTGAGTAGCAGGAGGTGACGGGCCGAGGGGGGACGGAGACCAGGGGCTGTGTTCTTGTAGTCAGGGAGCTGAGCAAGACCCGGCCCAGCTCGCAGCTCTCTTGCCTCCCCAGATCCTGGTGTCCCAGCATTCGGGCGTGGAAGCACACAGCCATAGCCACAGCTCCTCCTCGCTGAGTGAAGAACCAGAGCTCTGGGGGGGACTCCCTCACAGCACCTCCTCTGCCCCGGAGCTGCGGCAGCGCCTGACACATGGGGACAGGTGAGGGGCTAGGCCAGAAAGACCTCATGCACTCAGGAGTATGAAGGCTCCCGGGGCACTATCTCCATCTCTCCCCACAGTCCCCTGGAGGCTCCAGCTGGGCCCCTAGGCCAGGTGCGACTGACCGTCTGGTACTACAGCGAAGAGCGAAAGCTGGTCAGCATTGTTCACAGCTGCCGGTGAGACCCCGTCTGCCCTCCCCTCCTGCCCCCCTGGCCATCCTCCCCTTGGGCTGCCTTCTTACCTTCAGCTTCCTGTGCAGGGCCCTTCGACAGAATGGACGGGACGCCCCCGACCCCTACGTGTCACTGTTGCTATTGCCAGACAAGAACCGGGGTACCAAGCGGAAAACCTCACAGAAGAAGAGGACCCTAAACCCTGAATTCAATGAACGGTCAGTCAGTAGGCATTCAGGAGGAAAGAAGGGTGGCTCAGGAAGGAACCCCTTCCTCTAATGCCCAGTGTTCCCCTCCCCCCAGATTTGAGTGGGAACTGCCCCTAGATGAGGCCCTGAGGCGAAAGCTGGATGTCTCTGTGAAGTCGAATTCCTCCTTCATGTCAAGGGAGCGTGAGCTGCTGGGGAAGGTAAGAGGGTGAGGGTGAGCAAGGCGAAGGTAAGGCTTGGAAGCTGCTGGGAGCAAGGCCATCATCCCTCAGGGACCCGGGGAGGAAGCAACGCCGGTGACACCACTATACATGTGACCTGATCCCGTCAGCACTGGTTTGGAGCAGGAGTGTGGAACGATGGGACGTGGTCTTTGGCGATCTCAAAGTAACATCTGCACCCCCCCCCCCGCCACCTCCTCCAATGCAGGTTCAGCTGGACCTTGCTGAGATAGACCTTTCCCAGGGAGCGGCCCAGTGGTAAGTACCCGATGGGCTGGGGGTGGGCCTGGCTGTGTAAGCCAGAGAAATCCCAGTCCTGGGCAGGGAGAAGAGCATGCGTTCTGAGGTGAGAACCACTGATTCTCTGCAGTCCAAGAGCCCTTGGCTCATGCTTCATTTCTTGGAGGACACAAGTCCCCTTTCTACCTGAGCCTTCTCTGCTTCTTCCCCAGGTATGACCTCATGGATGACAAGGACAAGGGCAGCTCCTAGGAGCCAAAGATTCCCAGCCTGACCACAGTCTCCATGCCTTGCCCCTCACTGCATCACCACCTTGATGTGATGAGCCTAAAGCTAGGGCCCGAGGGTAGAGCCTGTGCCCCTCAGCCCTCTCACCTCCCAGGCCCGTGCTGGGGCCTTTGCTTGACCAAAGAGGAGGACCATGTCACCCTTTACTGCATGGCCTTGATCCTTCTGGGCTCCTGGGGCAGAGACCTGAGCTGGCTGTTTCCCGCTCTGCCTGCACGTTCTCCTCCTTTGTCCCTCCGCCTCAGGGCCTTCTGTACCGTGCCTGGCCACTGGCAGCACTAGCAGCGGCCTTCGCTTATGCCAAATACAGCTTCTGGAAAGATCTTTTCTCCTTAAGTGGACAGCCACCTTCTTCCCTACCATGAACAGTCAGGGAGGGCAAACGTGGGTGGGAAGGTAGACGGGTTAACCATTCAAGCCAAGAGCCTCTGGGACTAGTGTGTGTCATCAGCATATGGTGACCCAGACCCCCGAGTCCAGTTCTGCCCCCACTTCTCAAGTCTGTCCCGAAAATTACACCTGCTGCGATGACCAGGGCCAGTCTCTTGATGCACTTTGGGAACCAGAACGCTTAGCCACTACTTGGAAGATGTGGAGAGAACCTCTGTCTTAGGGCTTCTGGCTGGCACCGTGCAGCCTTGGAGGACGGGAGGCAGCAGGGCCAGTATCGGTTCAGGTACCTGGGCTGTTAACTCATTGACTAGAACCCAATCTCTTGGTTTTGCACCAACTCTGCCAACCCACTGTACCTTATATTAAACATTATACTCAAACCAGCTGTGGCTCTCTTCTTTAAGGAAAGGGAATTTAGCCTACCATTATTATTTGCCGATGACGTGGTATGTAGAGAAAATCCTAAAGACTCCACCAAAAAAACTGAGAACTAAAAGTTCAGTAAAATTGTAGGATACAAAGTCAACATACAAAAATCTATTGCATTTCTATACAGCAGTAGCTGTTAGATAAAACCCATTTACAGGTGCTTCAAAGAGAATTAAATACCTACAAATAAATTTAACCAAGGAGGTAAAAGAGCCATACAGTGAAAACTATATGGTATTAAGGAAAGGAACTGAAGATACAGAAGCCATCCCATGCTCAGGGACTGCAAGTATTGTTAAAATGTCCACACTTCCGAGAACAAACTACAGAGTCAATGCGATCCCTATCAAAAATCCAATGGCAGGGGTGCCTGGGTGGCTCAGTGTGTTTAAGCCTCTGCTTTCGGCTCGGGTCATGATCCCGGGATCCTGGGATCGAGCCCCACATCGGGCTCTCTGCTCGGCAGGGAGCATGCTTCCTCCTCTCTCTCTGCCTGCCTCTCTGCCTACTTGTGATCTCTGTCTGTCAAATAAATAAAATCTTAAAAAAAAAAAAATCCAGTGGCATCTTTCACAGAAATAAACAATCCCCAAATCTGTATGGAACCACAAAAGTCCCCGAACAGCCAAAGCAATCTTGAGAAAACAAAGCTAGAGGCATCACACTCCTTGCCCTCCAACTATATTATAAAGCTATAGTAATCAAAACAGTATGGTGTTGGCATAGAACACTCATAACAACAGAAAGCCCAGAAATAAACCCTTTCAGGCTTCCCCTGCTACCTGAAAGTACAGTGTTCCTATGAAACCTTTGATTGATTGATATAAAGCAAAAAAATCAATTACTGTTAGTTTAAATGGAGAAATTTTCAAGAACTCCCAGACCCTCAAAATAATCTCTTTTAGGCGTCTCTGACACTTGAGGACACATCTTGCTAACGGATGCACAAAATAAATTCAAATAAGGCACAGATGCACCCAGTTCAAAGCTATGGCATTCAGATGCTGCACGAATGCCAAGGGAAGAAGCTTGGGGGGCCGCTTTCCCGGCGTGGGGTGCTCACAGCCTCTATGATGGCTCACTGCAACAAAAGCTGAATGTCATTTTTGCTTTTCAGTCTCCTCAGTAAAAGCAAAAATCCCCTTTGGATTTCTTTTGGTTAGTGAAAACAGGTCTTGATGTAGGTCTTTTTTTTTTCTTTTTTCTTTTTTTTTTTTTAAGATTCCCTTTATTTATTTGACAGCAAGAGAGGGAACAAGCAGGGGCAGGGGCAGAGGGAGAAGCACACTTCCTGTCAAGCAGAGAGCCCGACAGGGGGGCCGATCCCAGGACCCTGAGATCACAACCGAGCTGAAGGCAGACACTCAACGACTGAGCCACCCAGGCACCCCTTAATGTAGGTCTTCTTAAAAGCAAAGTGGCCTTGGGGCGCCTGGGTGGCTCAGTGGGTTAAAGCCTCTGCCTTCAGCTCAGGTCATGATCCCAGGGTCGATCCCAGGGTCCTGGGATCAAGCCCCATGTCGGGCTCTCCGCTCAGCAGGGAGCCTGTTTCCCTTCCTCTCTCTCTGCCTGCCTCTCTGCCTACTTGTGATCTCTGTCAAATAAATAAAATCTTTTTTAAAAAAATAAATAAAGTAAATAATTAAAAGCAAAGTGGCTTAACATGAACTTTCACAAAGCAGGGGCTATCTGCATATGGCTAACTAATTTATGATAAAGGAGCCAAGTATTCTATATAACGGGAAAAGGACAGTCTCTTTAATAAATGGCACTGGGAAAACTAGACAGCCACATGCAAAACAATGAGACTGGAGCATTATCTTACACTCAACCAAAAAAAATTAAATTAATTAACTAAAAATGGGTTAAACACTTGAATGTAAGACCTAGAACCATAAAACTAGAAAAAATATGCAATAAGGGGCACCTGGGTGGCTCAGTGGGTTAAAGCCTCTGCCTTCAGCTCAGGTCATGATCCCAGGGTCCTGGGATCGAGCCCCACATCGGGCTCTCTGCTCGGCGGGGAGCCTGCTTCCCCCTCTCTCTCTGCCTGCCTCTCTGCCTACTTGTGATCTCTGTCAAATAAATAAATAAATAAAAATCTTTAAAAAAAATATGCAATAAGCTCTTTGACACAGATCTTGGTGATGAGATTTTTTAATGTGATACCCAAAAGCAAAGGCAATAAAAGCAAAAAAAAAAAAAAATCATCTATATCAAACTAAAAAGTTCCCACATCACATACATAACCAACAAAATGAAAAGCCAAACTACCAAAAGGGCGAAAATATTTGTAAATTATGTATCTGATAGGGGGTTAATATTTGAAATATGTAAGGAACTCGCACAACTCAATAGCTAAAAAAAACAAAAAACAGTTAAAAAATGGGCAGATCTGAATAGAGATTTTTCCAAAGAAGACATACATATGGCCAACAAGTACCTGAAAAGATATTCACCATCACAAATCATCAGGGAAATGCAAATTTAAAGATTTTATTTAGGGGCGCCTGGGTGGCTCAGTGGGTTAAAGCCTCTGCCTTCGGCTCAGGTCATGATCTCAGGGTTCTGGGATCGAGCCCCGCATCGGACTCTCTGCTCAGCGGGGAGCCTGCTTCCTCCTCTCTCTCACTCTGCCTGCCTCTCTGCCTACTTGTGATCTCTGTCTGTCAAATAAATAAATAAAATCTTTTAAAAAAATGAATAAAAAAATAAAGATTTTATTTATTTATTTGACAGACAGAGATCACAAGTAGGCAGAGAGGAAGGCAGAGAGAGAGGAAGGGAAACAGGCTCCCTGCTGAGCAGAGATTCCTGATTCAGGACTTGATCCCAGGACCCTGGGATCATGACCTGAGCCAAAGGCAGACACTTAACTGACTGAGCCACCCAGGCACTCTAAGGGAAATGCAAATTTAAACCACAATCAGACATCACCTTACACCTTTCAGAATGGCTCTCATCACAAAGATAAGAAATAACAAGTATTGGTGAAAAAGGGAACCCTTGTACCCTATGGGATATAAACTGGTACAAGCATTAGGTAAAACAGCATGGAGGGGCCTCAAAAAACTAAAAATAGAGGGGCACCTGGTGGCTCAGTCGGAGGCCTTCCTTGTTCAGTGGAAGGCCTAATTCTCCCTCTCCCACTCCCCCTGCTTGTATTCCCTCTCTCCCTGTCTCTCCCTCTGTCAAATAAATAAATATTTTTTAAAAAATGGAAAACAAAACTGCTGCATGATCCAATAATTCCACTTCTGGGTATACATCTAAAGGAAATCTCTATCTCAAAGAAATCCCTGCACCGCCATATTCACCGCACCATTATTTACAATAGCCAAGACAGGGACACGACCTAAGTGACCACTGAAGAATGAATGAAGAAAGAAATGGGTGTGCATGTGTACACACACACACACACACACACACACAGAGGAATATTATTCAGTCATAAAAAGAAGGATATCTTACCATTTGCAACAACATGGATAGGCCTTGAGAGCATTATGCTAAGTGAAACAAGTCAAAGACAAATACTGTATGATCTCACTCACATGTGGAATCTAATAATAATACTAAAAAAAAAAGCTCATAGAGAGGTGCCTGGGTGGGTCAGTGGGATAAAGCCTCTGCCTTTGACTCAGGTCATGATCCCAGGGTCCTGGGAACGAGCCCCATATAGGGCTCTCTGCTCAGCGGGGAACCTGCTTCCCCCTCTCTCTCTCTGCCTGCCTCTCTGCCTGCTTGTGATCTCTATCTCTGTCAAATAAATAAATAAAATCTTAAAAAAAGAAAAAAGGCTCAGAGATACAGAGAACATATTGGTGATTCCAGAGGTGGGGTAGGAGAGTGGGAAAAATGGGTAAAGGGGGTCAAAAGATACAAACTTCCAGCTATAAAATGAGACCTGAGACACAATGTACAGCATGGTGACTATAGTTAAAATACCATATTGTATATGTGAAAGCTGCTAAGACAAGAGATCTGAAAAGTCTCATCACAAGGAAAAAAATTTGTAACAATGTAAGGTGATGAATGTTAACTATAACTAGACTTACTGTTTTTCATTTTGAGATTGTATAAATACTGAAATGTTATATATCTGAAACTAATTTAATGTTCTATGTCAATGTTAATTTTTTTTAATAAAAAAAGGAAAAAATACAAGTTAAAATTTTTAAAAAGCCTTTCAATTAATGAATCATGTCAGTTTAATTAATGGTCACAACCTACTGTGCATCCAGCCACCAAGAATGCCGGTTCCGTTGAGCATGGTCAAGGCACCTGCGTGAAGCGGCTCCCTTTGAGCTTCTCAGTGAGACTCATTCCCAGTCTCGGTGATGAGCGAAGACAGCTCCCTGTCTATGATCCACTGCCCATTATGATCCCGTGCGCTCTGCAGTGAAAGGACTCTAAGCCACAAACACGGACGCTCTGCGGCCCAGCACGGGCTCACAGTGTCTTAGTGGCAGGTGTCTTAGTGGCAGGTATCGCCAGACTCACAGAGGCTTCAGGCCTACCTGATAGGCAGCAAAATGAGAAATATTTTCTAACCATTCAGTTATGCTCACTTTGAGCTCTGCTCCTTTGGAGACCCCTCCAAATGGCAACTAGAGAAGCTGTACTCCATCAGTTCTAACTACCACATGGAAGGAGAGTGGGGGAGAGCAAGGGCAGATTACTGAAAGTGGGCTCAGTGGACCAGGTGATTTCAGAACTGCCTTGGGAGGGGGGATGCTTTGTCATCTTCTCTGGAAATATATAAACCTTAGGATGCTATCCACTGGGAGGAGAGAAAAAGGCTCAGAGGAAAAAACAAAACTCAGTTCCACAAGGCGTTGTCAAAATTCACCTTATTAGCAAAAGCTGAATTCAAATTTCATGCCATCCATGAATGCAGCTCCTGTTTTTTCAATAACTTTCATACTCACTGCTGGTCCTCTGCTGCCTCTGT